CCTCCTCCTCCTCCTCCTCCTCCTCCTCCTCCTATCCTTATTCCTTATTAGAATATACTCCTACTCCCCCCTCAGGCCGGCCATAGGGGCCGCATCCGGGTGGTCCCATCCTAACCTGTAAAAAACAATACAAAATCAACATTTTTCTTATTTTTTCCTCTCGACATGGACGTCCTGTCGTCCACGGCGATAATCCATTGCAAAAAATACCACAAAGAGCACACGCGCGCGTTCATGTCAGAATCCTACCGAACACCGTGTGTTTGCAAGCATTTCAACATAAAAACATCAAAAACCCAATGTTTTTTCACAAAAATTGTACAAATTTCCCGCCCGGGCTCTCTTGCTGAAATCATAGGAAAACCATAGGAATCTTAAGAATTCGGTCAAATCCAGCGATTTCACGTCATCGCGCGGTGCACTCGCGATGCTCTGTCATGCACCCAGGCCGCGAATCCTGTGCAAAAAATACCACAAAGAGCACACTCGCGCGTTCATGTCAGAATCCTACCGAACACCGTGTGTTTGCAAGCATTTCAACATAAAAACATCAAAAACCCAATGCTTTTTCACAAAAATGCTTTGGGGTGTCCTGTCAGACCGTCGGGCTTCCTCCGGCCACCTCTGGCTTCCTGCGGTGTACCGGGCCATTCTCGACTCGTCTGGCAATGCGTGCGCGGCATTCAACACGCGCTCGCCAGTTCCCGTCGGCAACCGCCATCGCGGCCGCATCAGCTGTACCAAACCGGCTGGCCGGTGTGACTTCGGCCCCCAGTTGTGCCAGCTTTGCTTCTTATGTTGTGGGAGGGCGGGTGGGACTGGGCATGCCATGCTTGACTCGCTCGAGCTGGCTAGCTTGACTCCTACTCCTACTCCTACTCCCTCCTCCTCTTCCTCCTCCACGAGGTGGGGACAGTCCGCCTACCGCCTCAGGGACTCTCTCTCGCGAAGGGCCAGAAAAACATCGCCTCCGCTCAACTCGTTCGGCTCTGGAACGTGGCCTCGTCGATCGGAGCCCTCGATCCCGTTCGTCTCGCCTGGCGTTGGAACGAGGCCTCTGAAGGGGCCCCAGGACACACACACACATAAATACACACAAATAAAAGGATTCCCCATATTTTCCTGTAGTTTCAGGGTTTTTGTCTTCCCCCCCACTTCCCATAGTTTCCCATCTTTTCCTGGGAGTGGACGATTAATTGTGTCTGTGTTTTTTCCCCTCCCGAGTCTCGCCTGGCGTCGGAACGAGGCCTCGCCGGCGCACTGCGGATTCCAGAGCTCGCCGGCCTCCCCGCGCGACCGCACGCGGATCCCCAGAGAAGCTCGGACGCGGCTGCGGCGTGGGTGGCCGCGCTCTGCAGGGACGGGGCGGGCCGAAGCGGCAGCGGTCCGTCCGCGGATCGCCGGGGGGGGGGCCTGCTGCAGAGGCTGCGAGGGAGCCGTGCTGCGCGCGCCCGCGGCCTCTGGCCTCTCGTCTCCCAGAACCTCGCTCCCCCAAAAGATGGCTGCACGCTCGGGCCCATCAGAGCGCTAGATCTGAATATGAGAACGGTCGTTTCAAGGCTCTCGTGGAGCTCTCTAGCCGCAGGGAAGCACTCTGAGGCTCTCGTGGGGGCGTCTCGAGGGGCTTGGCCGAGGCATCGTCGGACGCCTCGAGGCACGGCATCCGATCGAGGCGTCCGGGGGCTCCCAGTCGGGCTTCCGAGCCTCGCCAGGGGGCCCCCCGGGGGGGCCCCCGTGACCACCGACGCCGGCAGAGCGACACACAGGACCGCTCTGCTCCGGAGGCGCCGCCTCTGCCGCTGCGGGGCGCAGCGCCGATCCCCAGCCCCCCGCCGCCAGTGCGTGAGGAGGAGGAGGAGGAGGAGGAGGACGAGGAGGAGGAGGAGGAGGAGGAGGAGGACGAGGAGGGAGGAGAGGAGAGGGAGGAGGAGGAGAGGAGGAGGAGGAGGAGGAGGAGGAGGAGGAGGGCCCCATCCCATCCCCAGCGCTCCACCGATGCCACCCTCCGGTGGGTGCAGCCGCGCCCGTGGGCCGCACCCGCGGACGGCCCCCACGGCGTCGCGCGGGTGCCGACCCAGACGGAGACAGCGACGCAGGCTGGGACAGAGGCAGAGGCAGAGGCAGAGACAGATGGGGGAGGGAGGGAGGAAGGAAGGGAGGAAGGGAGGGAGGAAGGGAGGGAGGGCGAGGAGGGTGAAGAAGAGGGGAGTAATCAGAGAGAGAGAGAGGGAGGGGGTGGAGGGAGGAGGAAGGAGAAAGGGGAAAGACTTCCCCCTACCCCTTCCTCCTCCGCCCAGCGGAGGAGGAAGGGGCAACGGGAGAGACAGAAGAGGCGGGGGGGGGAGAGAGCGGAGGGACAGCGAGAGGAGCCAGACCTCCAGCGAGCCTCCCCGGCCGTGTCCTGGCTCAGCGGCTCCTCCGGCTGCACCGGGATTCGAATCTCGGCGTAGATCCCGGAGGGGGCCTGCAGCCGCAACGGCCCCTCGCCGGCCACGTGCTCCTGCGAGGGGGGTCGCAAACGCGAAAGCCATCACTCCTGCTCCTGCTCCTGCTCCTGCTCCTGCTCCTGGTGCTGCTGCCGCCCTTCCTCCTCCCACATCTGAGAGAGCGCGCCCACAGCGACCGAACAAAGGAGGGGGGGTGCTTGCCTTCAGCTACCCCCCTCCTCCCTTTAGGCCCCCTTGTTGGGAGCCCCTCCCCCCTCCCCCCTTCTTTTCCGGCCCTGGAAGCTACCCCCCCCCACCCCCCTCCCTCCTTCCACCCCCGGAAGCTACCCCCCCTCCACCCCCTTCCCGAAAGGGGGGGGGCTTAGCTACCCCCCGGCCCCCTCGGGCGCCCTTGTTGGAAAATGCCCCCCCCCCCCCCCCCTTTTTTTCCCGCCCGCGAAGCTATCCCCCCTCCCCCCCTTCGACCCTCCCTGCTGAAAACTACCCCCCCCCCTCTCCCCACTCTTTTCCAAAGGGCGGGGGGGCTTCGAAGCCCCCACCCACTTCCCCCTCTTCCCATTCAGCCCCCGGAGCCCCCGCCCTCCCTTTCGCCGACGATCCAAAATCAACAATCGACGAACGAGGATGGACGATCGACGATCAAGGATCGACGATCGAGAGATTGGATTCCAATCCAATCGATGGCAATCCAATCGATTACAATGCAATCGATTGCAATCCAATCGATTACAACGCAAGCGATCGCAATCCATTCCACTGCAACCCCCCTCCCCCCCTCTCTCCGCTCCCTCCCCTATCTCCCCCCCTCCCCCCCCACCCTTCGTTCCCTCCCCTTGCTCCCCTCCCTCTCCTCCCATCCCTCCCTTCCGTCCTGTCCCTCCCCCGCAATCCAATCGATTGTAATCGAATCGATTGCAGTCCAACCGATTGCAATCCAACCGATTGCAATCCAATCGCTTGCAACGCAACTGTACTACTCTGCTCGTCCCGTGGCAACGCCGGGGGGGCGAAAACATACGATCTTGCTACAGGGCAGTTATTAACGCATATGATTATTTTAAGATACATGAATAATGTATGAATAAATTGATGCATGAACTCATCGTTGCTTTGGATACTAAATCCCTGCATGTTTACTACATGATCCGCACGCGGAGCATGTATTAAAAACGGCACTCTACACTCGCGCCATGAACCAGGTCGGGAAATCGAGAATATACAATTCTACTAGACTCGTCCCGTGGCAACGCCTGGAGGGGCACGAAACATACGATTCTGCTCCACTCCTCCAACCCTAACCCACTGGCCCAAACCCCAACCCCTAACCCTGACCCTTGCCCTAACCCCTAAACCTCAACCCGATACCCGAACCCTAAACCCGAAACCCTAAACCCGGAACCCAAAACCCGAACCCGAACCCTAGCCGCAAACCCATCCCAATCCTTCGCCAAACCCTAACCCGAAACCCTAGACCAAAACCAAAGCCCTAACCCGAAACTCTAAACCATAAAACCCGAACCCTAACCCTACCCTAACCCGAACTCCGTTGGACCCGCCCTGCTGGAAGCTACCCCCCTCCCCCTCATTTTCCAAAGGGGGAGGGGCTTGGAACTTGGAAGCCCCCCCCCCACCCTCCCACCTTATCCCATCCGGCCCCCAGAGCCCCCGCCCTCCCTTCTGCCAACGATCCAAGATCAACAATCGACGATCGAGGATGGACGATCGACGATCAACGATCGACGATCAAGGATCGACGATCGAGAGATTGGATTCCCATCCAATCGATTGAAATCCAATCCATCACAACGCGATCGATTGCAATCCAATCAGTTGCGATCGATTGCAATCCAATCAGTTGCAACGCGATCGATTGCACTACATTCCACTGCTATCCTCCCCCCCTCCCTCCGCTCCCTCCCCTCCCTCGCCTCCCTCCACACCCTTCGTTCCCTCCCCTCCCTCCCCTCCCTCTCCTCCCCTCCCTCCCTTCCGTCCTGTCGCCCCCCTGCAACGCAATCGATTGTAATCGAATCGATTGCAATCCTACCGATGACAATCCAATCGATTGCGATCCAATCGATTGCAATCCAATTGATTGCGATCCAATCGATTACAATCGAATCGCTTGCAATCCAATGGACTGCTATCGATTGCAACGCAACTGTGCTATTCTACTCGTCCCGTGGCAGCGCCCGGGGGGCGAAAACATGCTATTGTGCTACACTCGTGCCGTGAGCCAGGTCGGGAAATCGAAACGATAACGCTCTGCTAGACTCGTCCCGTGGCAACGCCGGGAGGGGCAAACATATGATTCTGCTCTACCCCTCCCCTTGCGACGCCCTCCCCTCTCTCCCCTCGCGTTACACTCCCCACCCTCCCCCGCCTCCGTTTTCCCTCCTCCCCTCCACCTCCCTCCCCTCCCTCCCCTGCCTCCGCTCCCTCCACTCCCCCCCGCCCCCCCCCCTCTCTCCCCCCCCCCCTCACTCCCTCGCCTCCCTCCCTCATCCCCCCACCTCCACGCCCTCCCTCCACATCCCTCCCCCCAGAAAAATCGACCCTTATATCCTAAGACCCTTACCCTAAACGTGCCCTAAACCCAAACCCCAACCCCTGCCCCTGACCCTATACGCCCGCCCGCGCGCCCGCCCGCCCGCGCGCGCCCGCCAGCCCGACCGCGCGCCCCGCCCGCGCGCCCGCCCGCGCGCCCGCCCGCCCACGCGCCCCGCCCGCCCGCCCGCGCGCCCGCCCGCCCGCCAATCCCTAGCCAACCCTGACCCCAACCCCCCAAACCCTGACCCTGAAACCCTAACCCTAACACCCGAAGCTTAAACCTGAATCCTACTCCCAACCCTAAGCCCTAATCCTAAACCACCCTAGCCCAAACCCTAACCCCCCTAGCCCTAACCTTTGCCCTAACCCCTAAACCGAAACCCTTTTACCATATATTCCTAATTCTATAATTATTAAACCCTAATTACCATAAAACAAGCCGTTATGCAAACCGGCTCCATCTACTGCAAAAAAATGCATGTCCTGCGCATGCGTGCAGAATCTCTTATTTTTTACAGCACAAAATGCCCAGCCCCCGTCGCGACCCGGCTCCATCTACTGCAAAAAATTGTATGTCCTGCACATGCGTGCAGAATCTCCTATTTTTTACATCACAAAGTGCCCAGTCCCCGTCGCGGCCCGGCCCCATGCACTGCAAAAAATAGCATGTCCTGCGCACGCGTGCAGAATCTCCTATTACTTACAGCACAAAGTGCGCCCCTCTTATGTAAACCCGCTCCATCGACTGCAAAAAATAGCACTTCCTGCGCACGCGTGCAGAATCGCTTGTATTTTACAATACAAAGTGCCTTCCGTTGCGACCCGATCCACCGATTCCACTGACAAGCGTTTCCTGCGCATGCGTGCAGAACCTCTTCCGCCCGACCCGACTCGTCCCGCCCGTTACAGCACTCGCGTGCCAACTGGATCGCACATCCGTCGTCGCCGTCGTCGTCGTCGTCGTCGACGCTGTATTCGATGCGGTTCTCACGAGGGGAGAGATGATCTTTATGGTGGGGTGGCGTGCGGGTGGGAGTGACGGCCACCGCAGGTGGGTTCGCGGTCACGTTGTACTCGTGGCCACGCCTAGTAGACATAAACCCTAAATCCTAACCCCGAAACCCAAAACCCGAACCCTAAGCCTAGCCGCAACCCTATCCCAACCCTCACCCAAACCCTAACCCGAAACCCTATACCCTGACCAAAGCCCTAACCCGAAACTCTAAACCTTAACAGCCCTAACCCTAACCCTACCCTAACCCGAACCCGCTTGCACCCGCCCTGCTGGAAGCTACCCCTCCCCTCCCCCCCCACATGTTCCAAAGGGAGGGGGCTTGGAAGCCCCCCCTCTCCCCCTCTAATCCCATCCAGCCCCTGGAACCCCCACCCTCCCTTTCGCCGACGATCCAAAATCAACAATCGGTCATCGATAATGGACGATCGACGATCAAGGATCGCCGATCAAAGATCGACGATCGAGAGATTCCTACCCAATCGATTGCAATCCGATCGATTACAATGCAATCCATTGAAATCAGATCGATTGCAACGCAATCGATTGCAATACATTCCACTGTAATCCCCCCCCATCCCTCCGCTCTATCCCCCCCCCCTTCCCCTCCCTCCCCACCCTTCGTTCCCACTCCTCCCTCCCCTCCCTCTCCTCCCCTCCCACACTTCCATCCTGTCCCTCCCCTGCAATCCAATCGATTCTAATCGAATCGATTGCAATCCTACCGATTGCAATCCAATCGATACGATTCTACTAGACTCGTCCCTTGGCAACACCTGGAGGGGCACAACCAATACGATTAGTTGTTGTTGTTTTATATTCGCTTCGGGGTCGACTAGAACCTAAGCACGCGCGAAGCGCGCGCGTGGTTGCGGGCTTCGCCACTCACCGACCACTGTGGATGGCACTTCCTGCTGGAATGGGCAAGCCGAGGTACTGGAAGACCGCCGCATGATTAGACGTATTCTCAATGTAATCTCCCAGAGTGTGCAAGATTGCGGGCCGATCTTCGCAATGCTGCTTGCATGAACAACCTGCAAGACTTTTCGACGCAGGCAGCTGGCTCCCTGCCAGGTACGCATCAAAACAATCCCGCTACTTCTGCGATCACTTGCGCCGCTCTGGATTACTTGAGATGCTTTCCGCAGACGCCTCGGCTTCAAAGTCCGAGCGGCAGTGGAAAACTACCTTTGGATTCGCACATAAGCTCTTCAAGTATTCACTATCGGCAGCAAGCGTCTGAATTTGTGGGCCCCTGCCACATCGAACCTCCTTGGATCCCCAGCATGGCTTGGAGCTCGGGTTCAAAATCGCCCTAGCCAAAAGCATCTCAGCTTCCACAACTTCCTTGCACCTGTGTACAATTTGCGCCATGCGTCCTCCTCGTGTACGCCCTTGCGAGGTTGGCCTTCTGTTCGCGACAGAGATGCTGAAACTCCGGCGAGATTGATGAAAGCCCCCCAGTTGTCGCCAGATGATTCACAACCAGCC